GTGTGTGTGTGTGTGTGTGTGTGTGTGTGTGTGTGTGTGTGTGTGTGTGCAGCATCTCTCTCTAAATGTCCATTACCAGCTACATTTCCTTTCAGCTCATCTTAGACCGAGGCTGTGAACTGCTTTTTGAGCACTTGAGGTTTACAGGAAGCTAAACATTTTTTATTTTCTTTATAAGACACTTTCATATCAACACAATTTATCCGAGTGCTGCTTTTACACCCTGGTCTGTTTCACAAAAAGAAAGTCTGATGTGGATTTTTTTAAATAAACAATCAGCTGCTGCAGTTTTTTGAGAGAACCTGTAAGGCTCGATTCACACAAGATGATAAAAATCATAGATATAACAGGTTTTCTCCTACAGTGTGTGGTGTACAGCCACACAGCAAAGACAACACACCAACAGATTTCATTCACAAACATTCAGACGTCAGACAGGAAATCTCGCGAAACCTCACGAGATCAAACGTGAGTTCAGAAAACATAAACATGGCCGACAAGGAAGAAGCAATGGTGATAGTTTGTAGACCATTTTGACCAGAGAAAAACAAAACAAAAATACTTTCTGGTTTTATGTTTTGTCTTCTGTGTTTTGGATTCTCAGTATTTCTACCACCTTGCTTTCTGATTGGCTACACTTCATATTCAACAGGCTGCGAGCTTGTTAGTCCTCGGGGAACACCACAAACTCAGGCCGAGACAATCTAACATGATGAATATTCCCAGTTTGAAATCGGAGAGGTCCCAACGTCCTTCTGAGCTGACTGATCACTCCTAACACACAACAGGAATATCTTCTAAGATTATCTTTAGAGTCATCATGATAATCAGAGCGTCCTTAAGATTGTCAGAAGGAAAATCAACACAATTATTTTGCCGTGTGAACATGGCTGAAGGGTCAGTTTCAAGTTTCTGCAAAGATCTTTCTCCTTATCTCATCAGGACGTTGGTCCATCACTTCTTAAAACTCAAGCTACCGTTTGGTTCGGTGAAGTCAGATGAATCCAGACACAGTTTGAGGATTATCAAAAACATAATTATAAAAGGGACTTTGTTGAGGTCTCTGCAAACCTTTGTAGCTTGTGTGCTTTGAGCTCCTGCCACATACTTGTCCCATTTTGTTGTTAAGATTAGTGGCTGGACATTAATATTTCTGGTCTCCTTTTAGAGGAAATGACAGCCCTCTCCTGTGTTTCTKTATTTCTAATCGACACTAAAAAGAAACGCGGTTGGCGGTGTCGTTAAAAGGCACATGAGAATGGAATACCAATATATGGCGCTGGAGGCACAGGCCTGCAGCTGACCCTGGATGTCTCTCATCTGCCTCACAGTCAGACATTAGAAGCCTCTGCCTGATTCATATAACCAGCCTTTACTCAGTGAGGCAACAGCTGCAGAAAAAAAGTGCAGCTAACCACTTCAAAGCATTCTGATTCATTCTGGTTGACTTTTTTAGTAGCAGATACAAAAAATATGCTGTTTTCTACATGTTTTACCTGCACTGCAGTGTTTGAAATTTATACAAGTGAACTGTGAGATTGATGGTTCTAGAGATAATATTAAAGTGGATATATCATGCAAAATAACCAATTTTTTAGCCATTAAATACATTTTGTTATGTACTAGGAGTCTCTAGGAGGCAGAAAATATTTTTTCCGCAGTATTACACCTCTATCAAACTGGAATAAACCGCTCTGGAAGCTGGAGGGGGGGCAGGGTGTGAAGCACCTCATTTGGATTTAAAGAGACAGCCTCAAAACAAGTTGATATGAGACACACCTCAGTAAAGTGGGAAAGAGGGGCTTGTGGAGTTACAATAAGGAGGAATTCAGAGCAAAGCATTGCAGTTCTACCCCAACCGAATGATTAATGTGAAAAGGAAGGATTTAAAACATGATGTGTTTTCTTTAAAGGGATCCATGATTAGTTGTAACATTAGACTTTATTTGATAAACATATATTTTAACTGTAAAACAAAGACTGTAAAAATACTGTAGGATGTTCAGT